CCCACCCGAGGCAATATTGAAAAATTTTAGCTTCGCACTTTCTCAAATGCACTCTTATGTGATGGCATTGCAACTCCATCTCCGTAACAAATAGATGGTTAGATTTAGAGACGATGATGTAATGACATGTATTGTTGATAGAGAAAGAGATAAACGAAAAAATGTTGACCGCATGTTTTGTAGAAATAAAACAGATGAGGACACAAGACAATTTATGTATAAGTTTTTCCGAAACACTACACATAGAAAACGAGGACCAATGAAAGGGCATTTGGTTTTTGCTAATCCAGCTAAAGGAGAGCAAATCTACCTACGCCTACTTTTGTCATATTATTGGGCCTACAAGCTTTAAAGATCTATACACTCAATGGCTTACTACACCCTACTTTTCGTAAAGCATCTCTTGGAAGAGGGTTAATAAAGAATGATGATAACTTATCCCAATGTCTTGCAGAGGCCTCATTATTTCAGTTTCACAATGCTCTTAGGAGGTTATTTGCAACGATGTTGACTTATTGTGAGCTAGGAGATGTTCAGAAGTTATGAGGTGACCACTGTGATTTATTGTAACTGCTTCTTCAGGTGTTGCCACCAATAATATGCTAGGAGGGACAGCAACTCACTCTCGATTCAAGATTCCTCTCAACCTTGATAATAACTCAATGTGTAACATAAAAAAAACAAAGAGGGGTTGCTCAATTGATTCGGGATGCAAAAGTAATCATTTGGGACGAAGCATCGATGGTAAAGAGGCAGGCGATGAAGACGCTCGAACGAACAATGCAAGATATCATAGGGGTGACACTCCCATTCGGCGGAAATATAATGGTTATGGGTGGTGATTTTTTAGACAAGTCTTACCTGTCTTGAGACGTGGAACCCGAGCACAGATTGTAGATTCTAGCCTAAGGATATCACCTTTTTGGTGATTAAAATGATACGTTTAAATCTCAATATGAGAGCACTGATTGATCCTTGGTTTTCATATTTTCTATTAAGAGTCGGTGATGGAGACGAAGAAGCGGTGAACGAAAACTTTATCCGCATACCGGATGACATGCCCGTTCTATATATTGATACAGTTAAATCAAAAGATGTTTTGATTGATGCAATCTTTTCATTTCAGATTGTGATTCACCCTCACTGCATCGTGCGGGTACACAACCAGTATATATATATATATATATATATATATATTCATGATGAAGGCTATAGTGAAAACATATATTTATGATTAATATCATACTAATGTATAAATATTGAAGAGTTGTTGCATATATACGAATGTATATGAATATTCATGATAAATGTGGTAGTGAAAATGTATATTAATGATGAATGTCGTAATGATGTATGAATGTTGAATATTTGTTGAATAGACGAGAAAATACATAACTATTCATGATGAATTTATAATGAGTTGTATATTATTGATAAATATCACATTGATATATGAGTATTAAAGAGTTATTGTATAAATGTAAACGTGCATAAATATTTAACGTGAATATACATAAATATATCATTTCAAGTAAAAAAAACGGTTAAAAAATTATATCGAGATGATTGTCAAATCAAAGAGAATGAAATACTTGTTTTGTTTGATATAATTTGTCTAATTGAATAAATAATTATTTTTAAGATAATTTAGTTAAGAAATTAAGCGGGTAATTTTTTTTAATTAAAAAAGAAAATAAAAAGTGTGGAGGTATGATTAAATTAATTCCATTTTCGCATTAATTAACCATTTATTTTTTTAACCATTAATTACTTTCTTAATTTTGATCAAAATTTAGTATCCATCTCTTGATTTACAATGAAAAAATAGTTTTTATTTGAACTTAACCATGTATACATAAACGAGGTTTTGAAATAAAAATATGTAATTTTTGCCAAGTTATACAAATCAATCTTGTTGTATATCTAGTCTAAAAATTTTATTTGATTCTGTTTTATAATCTAAAGTCATGATCACTAAATGAATCTTTTCATCTTCCATATATATATATATATATATATATATATATATATATATATCGTAATTAATGAATCATGTTAATTATCCATAAATATCTCGATTGTTTTTTAATATAAGGTTGGATTCCGGTAAAAAAAGTAAAATGAGAAACGTAAAAAGATATCTCCATTCTTTGATAGACGTTAGGATGAGATGCATCGCTCAATCCCCGAATCAAATGAGATTCATAGGTGAATTTGAGACTAAAGGTAATCAATGATCCAAATCCCATATTACGATTCTCATATTATTTCTTTTTGTCAAACAATAATTCACCATCTAATATAAGAGTTGATCATGATTTATAAGAATTTCATGATTTGTATTTAAAACCAAATCAAATATTGTAGTTCATTAAGATAATAAGTTTTATCTTAGATTTAAACTAAGGGGTTGTTCACTAAAAACATACCCGATAAGTGCTTACCGATAGTATTCAACACCATTACTTACTTACCGGGTAATATTTTAGTTCAAGAAAACAACACCGATGCAGTAATTTACCCGATAAGTTCATACCATGATAAGAGTCGTCGCTTTCACTTACCGGATAAGACTCTTGTTCCTTGTCTTGCTCTTTCTGGGAAAGAGTTTTGGTTCTTGTCATATCATCTGATAAGGCAATATGACATGATAAACGTTTACCCAGGTAAGTGTTTAGTAAACTATCCCTAAATAGTTTAATGTGAACTGTTAAAATAAATAATATAAAATTTCGATGATCATTTTATAATCCTTGATTAAAATATAATCAAAAATTGAATAAAAACATGATATACTTTAATTTTTTTATTCTTATTTTATATAAATATATATTGGTAATTCAGACTTGAACGTATGAAATTACATGATACTTTTATTTTATTCCCATTTTATGCATTAGTATAAATATTTTAATCTAAATATTTAAAACATCACCAATAATTATTAAAATACCAGATTCTAAAAATAAGAAAAAGAACTTTTCATTTTCATACAATTGCCACAAAATAAAGGGCAATGCTAATGGCACCCCCTTAATAGGGGGTGTTGATTGTTTGGGAATTGTGCTTTTTAAAACATCAAATCCATTCCATAATATATCATATTTAATAGTTATTATTATTATTTAATACATATATATGCTAATTAAGTTATATTATATATATATATATATATATATATATATACTTTACGTGTATTTTACATATATATATATATATAATATT